AGAGAGAATAAAAGGAGATTTGGAAGAGGTGAGAGGATAAGCTCAAATTCAAGACACATGTAAAACAGTTCCTACCCAGTGAAATAGGTTTTAGATAGTCAACAACAAAAAGTATTAATCTTTGCTCATTCGTTGCATACTTTGGGTGTATCTTCTATGGATACTTCATTGAATGTTTTGGGAGATACAGAATTAACAGTTGTATGAGAAACAATTCCCAATCTAGCAACTTGCCTATGCTCTCTTATTAGCTATATGTGTTGTTTCCATATGGTAGATATAACAGTATTAAATGCAGCCAAAGAGCATCTGTTGGCTCAGGCTGATTGGTAATTTTTGCTGCTTACTATTGTTTGTAAGGCTAGTAGTTATTTTACTTTTTAATTTTTAATTTTATGCATTGTTGCTCCTCGTCCATAAGGTTGGGGAAAAATTTGACTCATTTTTCTTTTCATTTGCTCTTTTATTCAGCAGACATTTATAAGGAGTGTGCTACATGCTAGGTACACTTCAAATCTTCATCTTTGTAATTACAAAGTTGATAATTTGGCTTATCCAGTATGTTTTAAGTATACCCTGTGTACATAGTCACCTTACTTTACCACAGAGGAAAAAAAATGGCACTGGCAAAGATCCCCTTTACTCATCTGGACTAAGTATTCCTGTGACCGCTGTTATGTGAGTAAATATGTCCTTCTCCCCAGATCCTTTGGGATAACACGCCAGTTTGAAGGGGTGTCTTTGGCAACAGTGTTCCTTGGGCCAGTTCGAAGGGATGTCTTTGGTGACAGTGTTCCTTGGGGCATGTCTGGTGGTTTTCCTCTATAAATTAGCTTTGTACCCAGAGTGGATTCCAGGTTTGGAGTTCTGGTGACACTGGTGGTAGCTAGTTTCATTTTAAAAGCTACTTCTGGAATTGAGTGTTACACAGTCTGATTTATAACATACAACCATAAAAAAAAGATTGAGCCATAAGTGTTCAAGAATATTCTCCATAGATCCTAAATCCTCATTTAAATAGAGTGCTAGTTTCAGCCTATATCAGAAATCTTAAAACATGCATTGTATTTTTATGAACAAAGCCAATTGTAGTACCTAGTGTAGTTATTTCAAGCTATTCATGTCCTGCCCTCTGAAGACTTCAAATGTTTCAAATGAATAAGGTCAGGAGGAATATATGCCCTTATTTTATAAGGACTTTGTAAGGATATTTAAAAGTATTTTAGTATGTATGCAAACTGCCAAAATAATTCTGAATGGATTGTGCTTCAGTTATTATTGTCATAATTGAGTCATCTGTGTTCATAGTTGACTTTGAAAGGGGTTTTTGCCTCTTATTTATTTGTAGGATTGTTGATGTTATTTTTAACTAATTCGGCAGTCCTTAGCTAGACACTTAAAATTTTTTAAAACAAATTTGTGCAAAACTAAAAAAGTTTTAATGAAGTTGTTTTTCAGTCACATAGTGGCTGCTCTCAAATGAGGCTAAAACTGTCTCTGAAGAATGTTCTTGTGCATATGCCAAGAGGCTTCTGGGATGGGCATATATTTAAGAACTTGGAACATAAACAACTGTGATCTATGGCAAGAGATTTAAATGACCTCATGATGACAATGAGAACAAAGCATTTTTTAAGTTATCATGATGGTGTGTTAATTCATTGCAGTGTGTTTGTTATTCTACTATTTTGGTGTATTAAGTGAGAGCCAGGCAAAAAAAAATTAAGACTGTATTTAATTGAAGATACTATTTCTTTATTGTTGTAAACCAACTAAGTACCAAAAAAGTTTCCTAAGAATAAATATTTAATGAATTATTCTGTAGCTATAGGTTCTTTTTTTTTTTTTCTTCCTTTTTTTAACCACATGAACCACTCGGATAAAGACCATTTATTTAAATCTTAAAGTTTTGATTCATTTTCTGTTGGAGAGAATATGTTCCAAACATGAAAGATCAAACAGTTGGCTTAAAGTAAGAAAGCCTCCCTAAAGACAGATCAATTAAGTGTTTATTAAGTACTTACTATGTGTCTGGCACTATGCTAAATATTAGGGAATATGAAAGAAGGTGACTTTAAGCTGCTTTTGGTCTAGTTGGAAGAAAAGGCATACTCAGATGAAACTTATAAAGTTGGAAGACATGTAAATAAAATAATACCACTTATGTGATACAAACAGTGACATAGCCCTTCTTTTCAGAAATGACTTCTAATCATTGTCTAGACCAGTGGTTCTGAACTAGAGATGATTTTACCCTTCAAGAGAACATTTGGCAATGTCTAGAGACATTTTTGATTGTCTTGACTAGGGCTACTGGCATCTAGTGGATAGACCAGAGATATTGCTAAATATCTTACAATGTACAGGATAACCCTTCACATCAAAGAATTATCTGGTCCAAAATGACAAGAGTGCTGAAATTGAGAACCCTGATGTAGAACCTATAAATGTCAGTGCTAGTAAATTTTGAAGTTGTGGGAGATGGGTTCTTTTCTTCCCCTAGACCTCTTCAGCCACTGTTGTTTCCTTGAGGCTCTTAGATCCTTATACAGAGTTGATCATTGGGTATTCATAAACTCCCTGAACATTGTAGACAAGTTTATCCAGTACAGTATTCCAGGGAAAGAGTCCATAGCTTTTATTAAATTCTCAAGGTATCCATGTCTCCAGAAAAAGTTCAGAAACATCAGACCAAGCATGGTGTCTCATGCCTATAATCCCAGCACTTTGGGAGGCCAAGGCAGGAGGATTACTTGAGGCCAGGAGTTCAAGACCAGCCTGGACAACATAACAAGATCCCATCGCTACAAAAATAAAATAAAAAATTTAGCTGGGCCCACAGCTACTCGGGAGCCTGAGGCGGGAGGATTGCTTGAGCTGTCAAAGTTGCTATGATGGTGCCACTGCACTCCAGCAAAAAAATAAAAGACCAGTGTTGTAGTCACTTAAGAGATAACGCAGAACCTTCCTTAACATGTGCTGAGCTAGAAATAGAATTTAAGTTTCAAGGATCAAAATTAATCAGAAAATAATTTTTTGGTTAAAAAATATTGATACTAACGTAATATTTTGAAGCAGGAAAATATGTAGACTAAAGATTATTATTTAAACATCTAGTAATATAATACTGTACTTTTAAAATTTGAGACAACTGATTATGTGTTGACCTACAGGCATAATGTATAAATTATTTTATTTTGTCATTAGAAATCAATTTGCTTTATCAGAATTTGCTGCTTTTTCCCAAATGAAGACTCCAGTTTACATTTCTTAGGTGCTATTTATCTGTTGAATCATTCAGAGATCTGGACATGGTTTTATATAATATACATTTTTCCTAAAAGCTGTTTAGTAAAATAAATTATGTTTTCCTCATAAAAAATATTTTTGAATGGAAAGTTGTGTTTCTGATTTGGCATTTAATAGATCAGAAACTCTAACAGCAGTATGTCATAAAAACAAATCTTACATAACCTTGAGTGTAATTTAATACTTTCTAAGTTGTAGAAATTTGGAGATTAAGTCTTAGGTTAAAAACCAAGGAAGGTACCTTACAGATCATATATTCCAGCTGTTTCAAACTGTGTTTTTTGGGGGCTCAAGGCCCAAAAGCACCACTTTTAGGTTGCATATTTGGACTTCTATTATACTAGATATTTCGTTAGAGAGGGGAAATAGGTACATGTGGGAGGGAAAGGTTGCATAGTTCTGATCTAAACCATTCATTTTGCAGATAAGGAACCTAGGCCCAAACCTTTAGATTTTATTTTGGGCTATACATTTCTTCATTGTTTAGGTCAAACCAGCATTTTAGATGTATTTGGTAATAGTATAGAGGGTGATCTAGGAGTTCAAATTCTAGCTGTGCAGCTTTCTACCTGCATGTTCTTAGACAAGTTGCTAAATGTTCTCAGTCTCTGTATACTCATCAACAAAAAGAATTATAATATTTTTAGGATTGTTTCCACTTCCTTAGAATTTATAATGTATCTGGGAAGATGATCTGGATTAGCCATATCTCTCTTTAAAAGAGCATCTCAAATCATTCTATTTATTATTTTTAAATGGATTTTATTATGTCATCTAAATATTTGAAGCCCCACCCAACCATGTCCTCCAAAAATACTACAAAATAAAATAAACATCTTTATTATCAAATAATACAGCACGCTATTTACATTTCATTCACTTTGGCAGTAGTGAGGGTCTTCGTAGACTGATAGATCAGCATTGGGGGTTTTACTCCCACCTTCATACCCCTCTTCAGTTGTCACATAAGACACCTAGAAAGAAACACGGATCAACAGCAGCACACTATAGGAACAAAGACCTTTAGAGATGAAATATAAGAGCAAATAGCAGCATTGGAAGAACTAAACCATAAAAAGGAGAATCTGAACTTGGTGGTCCTTTTGATCTTAACCATGTAGCCTCACAGAGTGCTTAAGGAGAGATTAAGAATTCTTTTCTCATGGGGTATTTCAACTGGGATTGCCTTATTAAACAGTTTTTGTTAAAAACCTGTAGTTCCCAGGGAACACAGGCTTTCACTTGGATGACAGAAGCAAGTAGAGATAATTATGTTAAAGACAAGAGAAACCACTTGTTTTTTGCTACCAAAAAAAAAATTAATTAGTAGTCATATCCCGAGAAGATTTTATACCAGAATTTTTCTTAGAGGGTCAAAACAACATAGAGAAACAAAGGTTGAGCTTAAATAAAGGATTTTTCCTTAGTGGCTTGACTATTTATCAAGTTACTGGGTTTGTTTGTTGATTGATTTTGATTTTATTTGGTTAGGTTTATTATCGTTTGTTGTTAGGAAATACAGCTTTAACGATCCCATGTCACTCTGTGATATTGGGGTGTTACAAACATTCACTATTGCACTTACCTTGTTACTCTATTACATATGTGTAAATTACTTTTGTTTTTTATAAATTAGACTTTTAAGTGATTGAAGGACATTTTAAACTCAACTATTTGGATTTTTTCCTCAGGTCTTAAAGAAAGTGCAGAAGAAATGGTCAAAAACAAATTGGAAGGAAAGGATAAACTGACCCCTTGGGAACAATTTTTAGAGAAGAAGAAAGAGAAAAAAAGACTGAAAAAGAAACAGAAGGTATCAGTGTTAATTAGGACCAAATATTTATTGAATACCAACCATGTATCAGAAGGTACCGGGGGCTGGGCACAGTGGCTCTTGCCCGTAATCCTAGCACTTTGGGAGGCTCAGGCAGGAGGATTACTTAAGCCCAGGAGTTTGAGGTTGTGGTGATCTATGATGATACCACTACACTACAGCAAGAGAAACCTTGTCTCAAAAAAAAGAAGGTACTGGTGCTTGGCATCATTATTACAAAATGTAACCATTCACTGGAGTAGACCTTGTTATCATCCCAGTTTTACGAAAGAATTCAATAGGTTAAATCTTTTCAGCAAGACCACATAATGGTGTGTACAAAGCCTGTTAGGAGTCCAGAGCCACTTTATGCTGCACCCTAACATTTTACATCTACATGCTACATAAATGAAATACATAATTTAGTTGATGTCTAGTTATAAAGCAGTATGATTCTGTTCTGTGTTTTTGAGGAAGAGACGTTTTTACTTGAGGATATAGGCATATAGGGGTTTTTAACATGAGTGAAATTATGCTATACATTTCTACTTCTCAACCTGTATTTTTGCAGTATTATCATATGGCTCTTTTAACATCTATTGTCATCAAATCCCTTTATCAAGAGTATTTCCTCTGTGTTAATATTGGAAAATATGATTTGATTACCGCTGTTCAGGGGATAACATCTTTTCCAGAGTTAGAATCCTTAATAATAGCAGAGACCACTTATGGTTTTTCCTACTAAAAAAATACTCTTATCTGGTCACTGAAAAATGCAGCATTCTGGCAGGGGTGTCATTGCCTTACAGTGTTATTACTGATAATCACAAAATTTTACAACTTGGGGAATCTCAAATGATTAATGCTAGTCCAACTATGTTGTTTTATAGTTGTGGAAAATTAGGTGACTTGTCTGAGGTTATGCAGCATGCCATTCTCCAAGCTGAGACCAGAATCCACACTCTAACTTCAGTGTTCTTTCTACTGTACTGTACTGTTTATACTGTGTGAGCTTATGGTGCTTATGGTACAGCTATGACTTTTAGTGCTGTAATGGTAGAGGACTGCAAAGTTGAATGATGGAAAGAGTAGTTTTTGTACTTCTACTGTAATCATTGTACGTAGAAATGGATAGTAAAATGGAGAAATGGGGTAAGATCCCTACCCCCGTTGATGTGCTACCTTTCTTCTTCCCTAGAAGTTCCTTTCAAACTAAGTAGGCAGTAAAATATCTTTTAAATGGAATAACTCCACAAATGGTTAAGCTATCAGTTTATTGGAAAATTTTCAAGTGGATCTTTATGGAGTCAGTAAAGTAAGTAGTCACTCTGAGACTTGTAGCAGTTTTGTTGTTTGATTTTCATTTACTAGAAGCTTTGAGCTTATCTTGGGCTTTTACTTTTTCCCTTCGTTGGTCTAAGTCTCATTTTGTCAACAGTATTCAAAATACAATTGTTGAGTGTCCAGAGTGTTCTAGACTCAGTGCTTTGTACTGGACTTGATGACTCCAGCAGATCCCTTCCAACTCCATAGGTTCTTTTTATATAGAAGAATTTCAAGAATTTTCTAAAAGTTAAAAATATTTTTGCCCCGTTTTTAATTCAGTGACTTCAGTTTTGATACTGAAAAATTATTACTGAAGAAATGAACACATGTTTATGTGCCATGGTATTTGGTATCTTGACCTAACTATTATTTAGATCTATAAAGCAGTTAAAGAAATGTGTGAGCAGATATGTAGTTAATAATTTGCATTAAAAATATTATGTGACTGCTGAATCCATATAATAGTTTGTTGAAAAAATTTTTAGAAACGCTTGCTCTTAAAAGGATGTTAAAGTCAAAATAAATATTCTTTAGGGCTTAGTGGGTCTTTTTGCATGCACGATGATGTTTAGCAATAATGCATTCTAAACATTTTTTTTAAAATGACTTAGAAATGTTTTAGATTCCTGGAGATAAACTCAATCCGGTTAGTCTGATCTTAGTTCATATATGTTCTGTTTATTTTATAGGCTTGATTTCTTAATTTAAATGTACTAATTTAGTAGACAGTCTATTCAAATTTGATTAGGAAAAATGTAACCAATAGATTTACTTAAAAATAGCTCAGCAGTTTTCAAGGGTGGGTTATAGATAAAACAAGATAATTTTTTAAATTGGCTTATGAGAACAAGGGTTTCATTACATTATCATTATTTTTGTATATGTTTTAAAATTTCATTATAAAAATTTTCTTTAATTAACCAGCAAATGAATTGCTCTAATAATTTAAGAGATAACATACAGTGTACTCTGTCAGGCTGTTGATAGTCACTGTCATTTCTCAATTTTATGAGAGATAAGGCCATCTCTCTCCACTGATCACCCATCTAAAAGTATTCTCCTTTGTATGTCTGCATCACTTTATGTCTCTTCTAACACTTTCCATTTTGAATTACTGTTACTTATGTATATGTTTATGTGTCCAATTTCTTTTAATAGATTATAAAATTTTTGAGGGCAGAAACCATGTATAACTTGATTTCTCCTAAAAGCCCTACGTAGTTTCCTGCATTTATTACATATTTCATAATTATTTGTTTAACAAACAAAATAATGAGTTAGGTGGGAGTTGTTTGATAAACTGATCCATTTAAAAAACTAGTTTAATTTTAGACTGAACTACTTGATTTAAAAGAAATACACATGATTTGTCTTCACATACATATATTATTAGAATAATGAAACTGTACGTATTTTTGCATTCAACTTTAAGGCTCTTGCTGAAGAGGCCAGTGAAGATGAACTTCCCTCCGATGTTGATTTGAATGACCCATACTTTGCAGAAGAAGTTTGATAAACTGATCCATTTAAAAAACTAGTTTAATTTTAGACTGAACTACTTGATTTAAAAGAAATACACATGATTTGTCTTCACATACATACATTATTAGAATAATGAAACTGTACGTATTTTTGCATTCAACTTTAAGGCTCTTGCTGAAGAGGCCAGTGAAGATGAACTTCCCTCCGATGTTGATTTGAATGACCCATACTTTGCAGAAGAAGTTAAAAAAATAGGTAAGCCAACCCATTTTGGTAGTTTTCAATGGAATCTGAAGAAAAAGGTGAGATGAGTGGAAACAATATACACTAATTATTCTTTTAAAATTACTAGTGTTTGTGTAGCTCCCTTAGTGGCTTATAAGCAAGTCTTTCTTGTGGGATACAGTCCTTGATCAGATTGGGAAGGGTCGGCACGCCCCCTGTTTTATTATAGGAGACTTCGGTAATGTGGTTAATTTAAGTTTCCTGGGGATGCCTTTCTGGGAAGTATCCTTAGAGCCAGTCAGATTGACTCTATAAAGGATAAGAGGAAATAGAAAGAGGAATAATTACTTTATTATGTGCTTTCACTGCTTTTTTTTTTTACAATGCACCTACTCTAGGTCTCTCTCTGCAAAGGCTAAGAAGAATTACAAGTATGAAATCAATTTTTTTATATGCTTGTGTCGATATATGTATAATTTTTAAAAATCTATACGTGAAGTTATGTAAAAGCTTTTTCTGCTCAAATATATAAAACACATCAATATTTCATTTTATCCCTTTTGCATTTATTCTGCTTAATTATAGCTAAAAGCCAGCTTCTCTTGCTCCTCTTTTTCCTTGAATCCCTAAATCATCTTCCTATGTCCAGGGAGCCTTGTTTCCATTGTGTATGCACCACTCATTCTTTGCTGAATGCTTTCATTCTTACCTTTTTGGTATGTGTGAATGTGTTTGGTAAGGCTCAGGCCATACTTGCTAAGTTAGTACAGAGCCACTGTAAGCACTTTCCATTTGTTCTCATGCATTTTGCCTTTCCCTAATCTTTATACCACACACATGAACCCCAAAAGACTTGCTCCTGGAGCAACTCCAAGCTGGCATTGTAAAGAGAAGGATTTTATGAAGTTTCCCTGCTTTTTATCCCTTGTGACTAGTGGGCCAGAATAGTTCTCAACAGGAAAGTCAAAATTGCTCAAAATTATTTCCTGGTTGTTATAGCTTTTTAGCACTGACATTTTATTGATGAAAAGGAGATCAAGATTAATAAAGTCTATTATAGGACGTGAGATTCTTGGGAATTGGACAGAGAAATGGAAACTTAGCATATTCTGCTTTTTATCATACCTGAGCGGTCATTTCTAGAAGATGATGGATTTTAGCCTTATCCTCTGGTTTCAGGAAACCAAATTTATAATGGAGAAATGTGGAGCATTATAGTTTCCTTGTTCTCTATCCAAAGTGCTTCATTTGGCATGTGAAGTCTGGTCGGATTGCAGAACTTAGGGTAGGATTCAAAGAATAACTTAAATGATTTGATGGCTTGGGGTAGCCAGTTTCTTGGAATCAGCGCGTTTAAATTGTGAGTAAGCTTTCTGTAAAGTTAGTATCAGAAGTTCCAAGGAAAAAGTTTTAGATAAAATTTGCTTGCTTTGAATTTACTTTTTATTTCAGAATGCTCCCTAGGAGTAATTGTTTCTATCTAGGCTTAAGGTGTTTGTTTGTTTAAGGAAAAAGAAAAAGGCTGAGAATTTTTTACATAAAATTTAGGACCAGAATAATATCTTCCCATGTTGGCTTATTCATTCTATCAATAAATATTTTGATTGCCTACTGGACATTCTCCTAGGCTAGAGTTACAGCAGTAATAATACAAGCAGCATTGCATCCTGCAAAGAGTCTAGTTTTAGGAAGACATGCTAGACAGATAAACAAGTGAGAGTATTATGAAAGAATGGTAAATATTTCAAAGGAAAGAAATAAGGTGCAGTATAGAGGATATACCTAAGAGGAAGCAAGGAATAAGGGAATTCAGTTTACATAGGGTAGGCAAAAAAGGCTTCTCTGAGATAGAGACATTTGAGCTGAGACCTATAAAATGAGAAGGAATCAGGCATAAAGAGCTGGGGGAAGAGCATTGCAGGTGAGGGAAAAGTGGATAGGAAGACCCTGAGGTGAGAAAGAACTTGTGTCATGTTGGAAGAATTGAAAGACACCAGTGTGGCTGGAGCATGGTCATAGAGGGAGTTGGTATGAGGACAGGCTAGAAACACAGGAGGAACTGCCCCTGCAGGGCTTTGTTGTCTCAGCAACAAATTTAAATTTTACCTTACTGATAGTCGAAAGCCACTGAGTGGTCTTTAAGCAAGGATGTGACATAATTTGTTATGTATTTTAACGTGTTACTCTAGTGCCTGTGAAGAGAACAGATTAAAGAAAGGCATTGGTGAGGGCTGGGAGACTAGGCTTTTGCAGAGGTCTAGACAAGAGATGATGGTTGTTTAGCTGGCATGCCAGTCATGGAGCTGGAAGGAGAAAAGAGAATGGGATTCTAGATATATTTTAAAAGTAGACTTGCTAATGTATTTGGATCAGGAAAAAATTTAGCATAACTCTTAGGTTTTTGGTTTGAGTCTGTGGGAGAGTGTCCTTCCATTTACTGAGTAGGAAGGAATGTGGGAACAATAATTAGGGCTGGGAAGTAATAGGTCCATTTGGGATATAATTGCTTTGAGATGTCAGTTGGATATCCAAGTGGAGGTGTTTGGTTGGCATTTAGATATGAACTTGAGAAATAAGCAGAGAGATTAGAATACAAATTGTGAATCAGTAGCATATAAATAATGCCTCAAACCATGGGACTGGAAGTAGAAAGCATTGATAAAAGGATGTGGGATTAGACCCTGAGCTCAGGAGAAGCCTACGTGAAGGCACTATTACTGTGTCACACTAGAGGAGGTACTACTTGGAAGGCTGGGAAATGCTTATGACAGTGAGAAGGAGAAGCCAGGAAATAGGGAAAAAAGTATTAATTACCATAGTGTCCTGTGAGCCTAGAGAGAAGACAGTGCTTAGAGGAGAGCTGTGATGGATTAAATCAGGTGCCACTAGGCATACAGAGAAGTGTTTTGCAGATACTTGGTGAGGTGCAGGGGTCACTGGGTGGCCTGAGATGCAGATCTTCAGTAGATTAGTGTAGGTCAAAGTATGAGTGAGAGGAGAGGAAGTAGAGACTGAAAATGTAGATCATTTTCCAGAAGTTTTACTGTGAGTTGGAGCAAAGAAATGGAGCAGTGCCTGGTGGGTAAAGAGAAGGTTGTTTGTTTGTTGAAGTATGAGCTTTTAGGGCATTTTTTTATCCTCTTGGGATTGCTCCAGCAGAGAGGTGATTGAGATAACAGAAAATGGTAGAAATAAAAAGGAAGTATTAATAAAGATAAATTTGTATATTTGGCGGCAGGAAGATGAGGGATTTTCCTGTTTGGTTTATGGATCTATACTGTTTGTTCATTCATTTGCAGAAGTACGGATAATCTGGATTTGCAAGTAAGGTAAGGACCTAGAAACAGATCATTGCAGAGGAGGGGGAATTTACTGCCTAAATGAATTATCAGATTTAAAGGACATGTTCTAGTCAGGATAGCTGAGAATGGAGAAAGATGGGACATGTAAATCTGAAGGCCAAGCCAGACATAAAACCACAGAATGTTCAACAAGGGCAGGGGTAGGGGAGGCCTAGACAGAGAGGGAGAGAACCAGCTGAGCCACACAGGCTGGTCCACAAAAGGAACATGACCCTTTTAAGTAGTGCTGGATGTGGCTTTTCATAGGCACAGTGCAAAGCTATGTGCCCTCATTCATTTCTTTGTTCATTCAGTCAGCAAATAATTATTGCATATCAAAATTACCCAGTCCTCCCATATTACTTTCAGCATTTATGAGAAGATATTTAAATGTACAAGAATGATACAGTTCTTACCCATACTTTGTATTTTGATCCGACTACCTAGGGTGTAATTAGGCTTTCAAAAAAATATGTATGTTAGATGTATATCATGTATATGCTCAAATAGGTGGGTTTAATGAGAAATTTTTGCTCAATTTTGAACTCCCCCCCCCCAGGAAAAACTAAATTTGTGCTTAATAATATCCAGAAGATATAAAGAAGAGTAAGTATTGAATGTTAATTTTTTGTACTCATGATCCAGGAGGGCAGTTTAGAGACATAGAATCATGCTTGTAACTTTAGGGAAGTGGATTCTTATAAGGAGGTCAAAAAGAAGTGTAAGAGTTTTTTTTGTGCCCTCCAGATATAAAGCTTTATAGTAGGTATTCTTATGGAGGCTTGGACTTTGGTTCAAAATTCACCAGTTTGTAATATTTTTAACGTAGATATAAAGTAATCTAGGTGACATGATATTGGTATATTAATTTATCACCACAGTATTGCCTTCATTATTAATTTGTCAAGACATGTTTTGGATTTTAGTACATTGGAAGTGAAAATAATAATTACAGACTCTCGTTTCCAAAATATTTAAGATAAAATGAGTTTGCACCAGTGTTTGGAAGGGTGTGTAGTTCAAGTTCCACAGTTGAACAGGCCAAAGACATTATAAAGCAGATGTACTTGGGTACATTTATAATACCTTTGCTCTAGGCAGTCCCATAGAGCTAAACTTATACACCTCTCAAATGGAGGAATTGAGTTCATTGACTGATGCCAAACCTGGTGTTTGGCTCAGATTAGGAGCCAGTGTGAGTGCTAGAGATCTTTTATCATTTTTTCCATTTTTTTCCCTGAACTGCTAACTTAGTATCAAATGACAGTTTTGAAAATATAATGTGCTTTTAGGATGAGTACATTAATGAAATAGAAGTGAAATAAAATATTGGAAAATGTGTTTATTGCTATCTAGTTACATAAACTCTTTAAGAAGATTTTGAAGAAGTAGGACTAAAATAAAATATATCACTATTAAAATGCACCCTTTGTCTTGACAGCTTTAGGTATTTGATAAAGCGCCATGAAAATCTAATAATCTGGTACTCGTATTTGATTCATTCAGCCAGTATGTCGAATGCTTACATAGTGTACTGTTTGTATGTTGTTTTACAGCTACTGTTTGTATGTTGTTTTACAGCTTACAAATGCTTCTGTATGGATTGTGTCTTCTAATCCATACTTCAGCCCACCTATACATAAGTAAACTAAAGCTCAAAATACATAGTTGGATTGCCCAAGGACCAGTTGGTAGCTGGTAGAATCTGAATTCTAGTGGGCTTGCCTTTATTTATT